GGCTGGAGTCGTGCTGGAAGCTGCCGGCCACTTCCCTGGCTGCCAGATCCACTGCCATGAAGTGCCATGGGAAGGGGGTTTTGGCAGGGTTGGTGCTTTTCCCTCCATCCGGAGGCTGCTGTCCCCAGACCTGGCTATGTTCAGGTTGCAGGTTCAGACCTGGGGACTGGAAGGAGCAGATGGTGAGGAGGAGTTAAGCCTGGAAGTGGTTTTGTGCGATGGTCTGTGTTCAGTGTTTCTTGTGAACTTTCTGCCTCCTCAGGAGAAAATTGGGATCTGAACTGAGGCTGGATCATTGCATTTGGGACCCAGAACAGTTCAGGATCTCTCAGAATAGCACAAAGTGAAGTGAAAGGGAGCTGAACCCCTGGAGAAGCATGGAGGGGACAGGACCAGTCACCAGGGCTGTGAGCTCATTGTCAGGCGAGCAAGTGCCTGGCTGCTGCTTGTCTCTAAACACAGGGAAAGACTATTCCTCTGGTGAGACCAAGCTTGCCCCTGTGGAAATTCTGAAGGTTTGGGATTTTTGTCTCACAGCCAAAGCCTGATCTTGGCAAGGGTAGGTGATGGAGGGACACCTTGCATGGTGGTGGATGGGTGTGTGCAGGTGGCAGGATGCCACTGAAGTTTGGCAAGTGCCTTTCTTTAACACATGGTCAATGTGAGCTCACCCAGGGACCCCCCCACCCAATCCCAAGACCCTCACCTACCCCATGAGTTGCCCATTCCTCTGGTGTCAGAGCTCCCTGGGCTGCTGCAGGTCCCTCCAGCAAGGGAGAGGTACAGGGGGATGCAGGGGAGCAGTGTGGGTCTGCACCGTGTCCATGCTGGGGGAGATCTGGGGACCAGAACCACATCTGCCCAGCTTCTTTGGGAAGGGACCTTGTGTAAATTGCTCCAGTTTGCTTGGAGCACCTTCGGGATTTGTATTCATATCTTTGCTCTTTGAATTAATTGTTTTTCCTGGTCATTGAAATAAAAGACCTTTTTTGTTGTTGTTGTTTTGTTGCTGCTATTTACCTTCTAGCCTCTCGTAGTTGAAAATGCATGGGAGATTTGGGAATGTGTGGAGAGGTGATACCCTGGCCTTCAGACAGCAAGTTAGACACAGTGAGCACAGCCCTGCAAAGGTAGATGGTAACAAGGGGTTGGGGGGGAAAGGTGATTTTGGTTGCAGAAAGTGAGCATGTGAGACCAGGCAGGAGGGACAACTCCTACCCATCATTGCAGGTAAAGGCTTTGAGGAAGGATGGGGACTGGGAGACAAGTTTGATAGAGATGGTGACCAGTGTGGGGTTGCCCTGAAGGGTGGCTGTGCCTTGAATGCTGTGGAGAGCATCTGTCCCTGTCACACCTTTCCACCTGTGGGCAGAGGACTGGGAGCAGGTTTGGTTTTGGCAACTGGCATTAGGGAAGAGTGGCAATCCAGGGAGACACACATGGGCTTTAAAATGAGAGCATCTCCCTGGATGAGAGGGCCATGAGCACAGGCTTGTCCTACCAGGACAGCTATCAGCTCCTCTCCCTACCTCCCAACTTTGCCATTCAAAACCAAGGGCTCGAAGGGAACTGTCTCTTTTTCACACCCTGCCTGGGAACCTGGAACAACTGTAGAAGGGAAGGAAAGAGCTGAGATGGTGGATAAGCCTAAAGAGGTCCCATGCCTCTACCAGGCCATTAATAACTGGCTCCACAAGGAATTATCCCTTGAATTTCTCTCCCAGGAATTCTCTACAGGAACAACCATGCCCTGGTGAAGCCCAGCTGTGTGCTGGGGTTGATGCCAGCCCTTTTGGTGGCTCTGGTAGCCCAGGCCTTGTGCCCAGCTGGGTGGGTAGCCCCTCTCTGTATGTCTGGGAGTCCGGAGCCGGCACTGGATCCTTTGCCATATTGTCCTGCTCCCACTAGATGTCAGGAAGAGGCTGAGCGCGGGCGAGGAGGAAGGCACAGCAGAGGGGACATGCATCATCTGCTGCTGCCAGAGCCTGGGCTCTGCTTTCCTCACCACCAGCCCCAAAACCACCCCCACTGTCAGCTCTGGGCTCTGCACAGTGAGTTGGGCCGGGCTGCCCCAAGCTCTTTCAGCACAGAAGTGAAGCTGGGGATCAGTGTAATGTCTCTTGAGGCCACCTCCTCTTTCTCAGGTGCACAGGTGAGTGTTGGGTTCACAGCACAAGAGCTCCATCCTGCCCACACCACTTTGCTTTGCTTCTGCTGCTCAGGTTTGTTTCCTCTTGAATTTTTCCATCTCTACGTGTGCTCCTCCTGCACATCCCAACAATAACTAATAATGATTTCTGGCCTTTATATAAACAGTCGTTGGAGCTTTTCAAATAGATGTGTGTGTCTCCTCTAGATTTTACAGGCAGGAACTGGGTCTGGGAAGAGACAACGTGCTGCCCAGGGTCACCCAACAAGGTCCCTGGTAGTTAGGAGACCACTCTCCAACTGGATCCCTCTTCACAATGCATTCAGCCCTCACCTCTGAGGATGCCAGGACATATCCTGCACCTGGAGTTTTACATCCTTGGGCAGGTATAAACCAGAGCTAGCACTGGCCCTGCTCCAACTACCCAAAACCCATCCTCCAGACCCCCTCAACAGCATCATCTCCAACAGCACCATTTCCTCCCTTCCCCTTAGGCACCTTCAACTCAAGAGGCTGGTGACAACTTTCCTCACCTGATAGTGTGGGCAAGCAATTAGCTAAAGAGGCAAGTAATTAATACAGCAGGTGTCAGACTGCATCTCATCTTTCTTTAACAAATGGTGCATTTCCAAACTAATTAGCCCAGCCAGCACTTGAGGTAGTGGAAAATCAACACGAGGTTGTTCATGCTTAGATATTCTTCTCTAGCAAAGCCACGCTCATGCTGGAAGAGGTTAAGGTTAATGAAGGTGGGAAGAAAAAGGAGAAAACCAGCACCTAATTCTTCTCCGTCCTTTAGCAATACCAATTGGTGCACATAGAAGATGGATTGTATTTTTTCCTGCTTTTTTTTTTTAAAAAAAAAAAAAGAAAAGAGGAAAGCAATGAAGCCAGAAGTGCCATCCCTGTGATTCTAGGATGCCAGTGACCTGCAGCCAGGCAGCCCTGGATTTGAGGCAGCCACATGGGGCTGTCCCCCAGCCTTCCCACACTGCCTGATTCATGGCTAATTTTCAGCCCCCTGGGGAGCACCTGGAGGAGGAATTAACCCCAAAGAATATGCAACTGTTCCCAGGTCCACAGCAGCACTGCTCTGTCCAGCCCCTGGCAGGGTCCAGGTAGGACCGTGTCCTTGGATGGCACAGTAACAGAAGAGAGGCACCACTGATGGAAACAGCTCTCTTAGGGGCTATCAAGGCTAATGACCACCAATTAGCTTCAATTCAGATGTGTAGAGTTGTGAGAGGAGGAGCTGGAAGCTGGAAAGGAGGAGATGTTTGTTGCAGGGGATGGGAATGACAGACACTGCTGTTCTGTGAGGTCACCTGCAGCTTAGGGCACCAACACCCAACCAAAGCAAACTCACAAAACATGTCAGCTCGAGGAGAGATGGAGATTATATAGGGCCTTTATACTTACATTTATACTTATATTTATCTTACATTATTTATCTTTCTATTTACTGGCCCTTGCCAGTATAGGATGTCTCTGCCCAAAGCCCATCTACCCCCAAGCACCTGTTGGTGATTAAGTCTCTCCCTGTTCCTTTCTGATGTCACAAAACTGTTTCAGCCCAGGCAAAATATTTACAGGACTGATTAAACACCTAGGAAACAAGAAACTTGCTAAAAGTGTGGAACTAACATAAATACAGCATTATTGAAAGAAAATGGGACTTTTAGCAAGGACAGCTCTCTCAGCTGTGCTATGTTTACCTTGTTTCCCTCCATTAATTACAGTCTGAGAAGGAGACTTGTGCAAATTGAAATAAATTAATCGAATTTGTTTAGAGTTTTGTGTGGTTGGCTAAGGGGGATTGCAATTAAGCCAGTATGTTTGGGGTGTTAAATTACATTGCCTAGATCTGTTCTTCCCTTTTCAAGCATCAGGCATGTGAAAAGGCAGCAGTCAGTGCCAATTAGAAGGTAAATAGGCAGTGCAAGCAGTGGTTATTTTATCTCCTTCGCCTCAAAAATTTCACTC